AGTACAAATTTTTTTAGTCAACAACTTCTCCCGAATAAAGTGACAGTCAATCTCAATATGCTTAGTCCTATCATGAAATACTGGGTTGGAAGCAATGTGGAGAGCAGCTTGATTATCACAATACATCTTCATAGATTGAATCTCACAGAAGTTCAATTCTTGCAAGAATTGTTTTACCCAAACAAGTTCACAAGTGAGAGACGTCATTGTCCTATATTCAGCTTCAACAGAGGATTGGGCAACAACATTTTGCTTTTTGCTTTTCCATGAAATGATATTACCTCCAAAGAAAACACAATAGCTTGTAGTGGAACGCCTATCCATAGGAAATCCAGCCCAGTCAGCATCACAGTATCCAAAAATTTGGGTATTTCCCTTATCTTCATATAACAAATCTTGTCCTGGAGCTTTTTTAATGTATCTTAGGATTCAAATGATAACATTCTAATGATCCACACAAGCGGCTTGCATAAATTGGTTGACAACACCAACTGCAAAAGACAAATCAGGTCTAGTAATAGTCAAATAAATAAGTTTCCCAACCAGTCTTCTATATCTTTCTGGGTCAGAGAAAGCTTTACCCTGTCCTGCCATTAACTTCAAATTTGGATCCATAGGACTGTCCACAGGTTTGCAATCAATCATATCTATCTCTTTTAGAATATCTAGAGCATACTTCTTTTCAGAGATGACAACACCTTCTCTTGATTGAGCTACTTCAATACCCAAGAAATATTTTAGATTTCGAAGATCTTTGGTCTGAAAATGACTACACAAGTGCTCTTTTAGTTGAGATATTCTAGCAGCATCATTCCCTGTGATGACAATATCATCAATGTACACAATTAAATAAACATGTTTGCCAGGGGCAGTGTGACAATAAAACCCTGAATGATCTGCTTTGCTACGTTTTAATCAAAAAGCTTGAATAATAGAGCTGAATTTTCCAAACCAAGCACGTGGAGACTGTTTTAGGCCATAGAGAGATCGACGTAATTTACAAACCAAACCAGACTCCCCCTGAGCAACAAATCCAGGAGGTTGCTCCATGTAAACTTCTTCTAAGTCACCGTCCAAAAAAGCATTTTTAATATCCAATTGATGAAGAGGCCAATGACAAATGACGGCCATGGCAAGGAACAGGCGGACAGTGGTCATTTTGGCTACAGGAGAAAAAGTATCACAATAATCAAGTTCATATATTTGAGAGTACCCTTTAGCCACTAACCTGGCTTTGAGACGATCAACCTGACCATTGGACCCAACTTTAATAGCATAGATCCAACGACAACCAACTGTTTTCTTTCCCGAAGGGCCTCCCATGTTTTGTTGTGATCAAGAGCCTGCATTTCAGAAATCATAGCTTGTCGCCATCCAAGATGATCAAGTGTTTCGGTCACATTTTTGGGAATCGTAATAGAGGATACAGAGAAAATAAAAGAACAATAGGATGGAGACAATCTATGATAGCTAAGAAAATTGTAAATGAGATGAGGGTTACGAGTAGAACGAGTACCTTTGCGAATGGCAATGGGCCAACTGGAGTCATCGTTATCAGGAGTTGTGGTATTAGAAGATGATTGAGAAGGACCTGTTATGGATGGCTCATCTTGGGAAATGGGATTGTTCACCTGGTTCCTGCGTTGATAGGTGATGATAGGCTGTGATGATGATTCTAGAGTATTTTGGTTGGGATTTGGGGTGTCAGAAATAGAAGGTACAAATGATTCAACTAAGGGGACAGGAAAAACATGTTGGACAGAATCAATATCCTGCATAGAATAAGGGAAGAAGGAGGATGATTCAAAAAAGGTGACATTAGCAGACATGTAGTACCTCTTGGTTTCAGGAGAATAACACCAATATCCTTTTTGAAGACGGGAATATCCCAAGAAGACACATTTGATAGCTCTAGATGAGATTTTATCTAAGCTAGGAGACATATCATGAACAAAACATATACATCCAAATACCCTAGGAGAAACATGAAAAATTGAATCCTTTGGGAATAGAATAGAGTGTGGAACTTTATTGTCAAGAGAAGAAGATGACATTCTATTAATGAGAAAGCATGCAGTAAGAATAGCATCTCCCCAATGATGAATAGACATATTGGTACTAAACAATAAGGTACGTGCAGTTTCAACCAAATGTCTATTTTTTCTTTCTGCTATACCATTTTGCTGTGGTGTGTGAGGACACGTGGACTAGTGTAAAATGCCTTGAGAATTTAGGACATTAGAAAAATCATTAGAAAAGTACTCTTTGGCATTATCACTTCGTAAAACTTTGATTACTTTTCTAAATTGAGTTTTGACTTCATTAAGGAAAGACTTAAAGATAGGCAATAGTTCAGAGCGATCTTTCATAAGATAAACCCAAGTACATATAGAAAACCCATCAATAAAAGTAACAATATCTAAAACCAAAAGATGAAACACGACTAGGTCCCCAGATATATGAATGAACAATACTAAAAGCAGAATCACATCTAGATTCAGAATGATTTGGAAAGGATGACCTGGTATGTTTCCCTAATTGATAGGATTCACATTCAAAAGTTTGAAGGTTCTGAAGTTCAGGAACCATTTTTTTCAGTTTTTCCAAATGAGGATGCCCTAATCGCTCATGTAACAGTTTGGGGGATAAAGATACAACACAAGATACAGATGACTTAGTCCTAAGGTAGTATAAGTCTCCAGATTCATGTCCTTCTCCAATCAGTCGACCCGTACCACGTTCCTGGATAACAAAATAATTGGCATTAAAGGTTACTGAGCAATTCAATGATTTGGTTAATTGACTTACAGAAACAAAATTGAATGGAAAAGAAGGGACACAAAGAACATTTTGAAGGTTTAAAGAAGGAGAGATGGATACTTGACCAATTCCTTTAGAGGCTACTTTAGATCCATTGGCTAAAGATATGAGATGGGAGGTTTTAGGAAATGAAAGAGAGGAGAATAAAGAGGTATTACCAGACATGTGGTCAGAAGCACCTGAGTCAACAATCCACGGATTTTGACTTTCCACATATTGCGAAATGCAAGCAGTTGACGAATTTGGTGTTCCTGACTGTTTTTGCTTTTGATAGAAGGAACACGAAGTAGCCTTGTGATTAAACTCTCCGTAGAAGGAACTTCTTCTCCAGTTAGAATCTAGTCTCTAACATGATTAAATTCTGGATTCATAGCCCTAAGAATCATTACCATATAGAATTTATCCAGCTTCGTCTTTCTTTCCTCTAATGACTCTGCCTCCAGGAACATTTTGAATTCTTCAACTGCTGATTGAGCTTCAGCAACAAAGGACATCATGGAATTATCCTCTTGCTTAAGGGAGGCTAGTCTATTAGCAGAATTATAGAGTCGTTGAATATCATTAGCAAAGATATTTTGGGCCTTTTTCCAAAAGAAATTACATGTCTTGAAGGATCGAAGAGTGCTCAAAATATTTGGTTCAACAGATTGCCATAATAGTGCTGGTTTTGTACTTCCATCTTCTAGATGATCATGAACCCCTTGTCCTAGAAACTAGAGCTCAACAGAGGAGGCCCAAGACAAGTAATTCTTCCCATTTAATTTTTCTGTGGTTATAGTCGAAGTCCCAGAAAAAGATACAGACACAGGTCCTGACATTTTTTAGGAAAAAAGAGAGGACCAGCAAAGCTCGGTGTTGTATATGGAAGCAGAGAGAGGCAGAGAGAAGACCGGGAGTGGCAGAGAGAAGACCTGTATATGGAAGCAGAGAGAGACAGAGAGAGGACCGAGAGAGGCAGAGAGAAGAATGCAGAACCACCAACGTTTTGTGACAGAGAACCCGAAACAAAGTGCAAATCTGGCTCCAGGGCGACGGCGCATAAGGCTGAGACAGAGGAAGTGATCAATAGGGTTGGGTCACGCTCCTCGAGGCGAGCCTAACCCAAGTGTCAAAGAGGGAAATGACACCAGAGAATGACTGCGCCGATAGCGAACGGCGACGAGTAGCGATTAATGCCGGAGAAAAAAGAAGAGACAGGAAGAGCGGGATGAACCTGCTCTGATACCAACTTGAAATAGAAAATAGGATAATAAAGAACTGTTTTTGAGAGCTTGAAATCATTCTCTTGTGTTATCTTATTTATAGGAGATAAAGATACAGATTCAGAGATACAATTAATAGAGAGAAATGATTAATCCTAAAGAAGATAAACAGATGCATTCTAGGAACTAGGTCTACAACTAATCTCATAAATGCTCAACAAGATACAACTAATCTAATAAATACTTCACCAGACTTAAACAATTAGAGTTGCAATTTGGTGAGGTCACTCAAATGACACTTACATGCGACAATCAAGTCGTTTTTCATATTAGATCAAATCTCGTATTTTATGAAAGGGCCAAACATGTTGAGATTAATTGTCACTTTATTCAAGAAAAGATTATATTTGAAGAAATCAAGACCGTTAACTCTAATAATCAACTAGCATATGTGTTTAGCAAATTATTACGGGGACTTAGAATTGATTATATTTGTAACAGGCTTAGGGCATACAATTTATATGCATCAACTTGAGAGTGAGTTTTAAATGTAAAGGACTTAAGCTCATATCACTTATGTATTTTCTTAATCTGTGTATTTTTCTTACATAAAAAGGGATAACCCTATGTGTTTAATACACATTAGGAATTTAGATCATGCTTTTCTTATTTCAACAAAGTTCTTTTCAACTTATATATCAGTTAATTCATTCTCTTCTCTTGCCCAAAAATGTATTTTTTTGTCTGGTCTTCTTAGTACCAAACAAAATTCTAAAGCCCCATTATCAATGATTTTGGAACTACTAACTACAAAATATAACGTAATCTATATAATTAGATTAGTGCTTGTACTCTACATATATCCAATAATATTTTTAGAAAAATAGTTTACATGTATACAATTATGTGTGCCTAATGTATGCACACATATCTATCACTTTTTATGTTTATGCACATAAACTAAGTAAATTGGACTACCTCAACTGACTCGGCATAGGCAGCTAGAGAATTATCATCCACCATAAGAGGATTTGAACAATCAGCAGCTGCAAGTTCATGAATTCCAGCCAAAAGAGGGCGCCACCTCCTTAAGACAGCAATAAATGGTGGTAAGATAGCCTCAATGTACTTTTTACGAAGAAGCTTTCGATCGATGCCAACAGCATGGTATACCTGGTCAGATGTTGTATAATGGTGACTACAATAGTTGTAGACAAAAGATGAATGATAAAGACTGTGGTTCACATAGTAACCAAGAATAAAAATGAGAAAAAGAAGGCATTGCTAACCTCAGAATAAAGCACACAACATGCTACCAAGACTCTTTGTTTCCTAGCATCGGAAATTGGCATGTTGAGAATAGGTGAGAGAACACTATCACATCAGAATAAAAATTAAATAAATAAGATAACATTAACCAGATCAGAGAATAATGACTAAAAATAGAAGGATATGCAGGAATATGATACACTGTGTGATGAATACAATACACAATTCACTAAACTTTTTTTTATACTAAAAATAAAGCTAAATACTAAACTCCAAAGTCAATCAAGCCAAGAAACAATTAACTCATAAAAGATATGATAAAATCAATTAGAGTAGGTTAAAGTTCATACTGTAGGGAATAATTAGTTTTTTTTGTACAGGTTACACCCTTATTTCATTAAGGATTTGGAAGCAGAGAGGACATTAACTAATCTAAATCATACTAAATACTCCTAGTGGCCTTCACGAGTTATAAATATTGTCATTTAATGAAAAATTGCCTTAATTGCAGTAAACCCTAGCTTGAATTAGTTGTAGTCTCTTAGGGGGTGCCTTAATTGCAGTCTCAAGGGTGTGGTTTATGGTTTGTTTGGACAAACTACTCCAAAAGGATTTTTAGAAGAGAAAAATAAGAAGAAAAAATTAAATGTTTGTAGATAAGTTAAAATTAGCTTGAGCACAATTGTACATAGTAGTGTATTAGGATAAAATATTTGTAGAATCTTATTTATTTCTTTTAGTATAGTTTTGTAATGTATTTTCTGTTATTATATTTGAACAACTAGTTTTTATTGTAATTGTTTGATAGTTATAGTTTGTTACAACTAATCTACCCCTCTTTATGTCTTATTCCTTTGTCCATATACATATATGGGTTCTGTTAGAGATTTACTGACTTTTGTATTTTTCCCTTATTAATGAATCATATTTTTTGTAATTTTTAATATGATATCATAGCTAGTTAATTTCTCTCTTGGCTTCTAAAAAATCTTACTTTGCTAACTCAATGGCTTCCATATGTCAAGATTAAACAAATGTGACTGGATCTCTTCTTTTCACAAACAGTTATAGCCAAGTAGTTTGTTGTGAAGCATATTCCTAGTCTAGATCAATGGGTCCATGTAATAAAGAGCATTTCATTCTGTAACAAGTCCAATCATCCTCCCCAAGTTGTGTCCTACAACACACAAGCATTGATATGAAAAACAACATTACATGTTACATCCTTTGTGAATTTTTTAATAGATGAGGTTGGTGGATAGTTTAGGGACCTAAAGAACATTTTCTAGGGTTATTAATGGGCTTATTTAATCATTTCCTTGTCTAGCTGCAATTAGGAGACTTCCATCAGCAGTGGATATTTTTCTATTGTTGGGCATGATTGGTATAAGGGTGTCATGTGGTTAATGGCTCCAAAATCCCGTATCCAATATTGATTAAATGATGCATCTACAACATTAAGTTCAAAAGAGAATGGAAACTTCCTAAATATTTGGAAAGAATAGGTACTTGTTGGTTTCTCCAATTTTCTAAGGAAAGATCTTACTCTTTCTATCTCTTCCAAATTGAGTTAAGAAAATTTTCTTTGCTTTCTTCATTGGTCCGACAACCATATAAGCCTATCTTCCCCCCTTCTGAGAAACCTCCTTTTTTTCTACTCTCATTTCCATTTTGAGGCTTTCCATTCAACTTCCAACAATTTTCTTGAGTGTGATCAGGCTTGTTGTAATAGGTACACTAGACCCCCTCCTTATTCTTTTCCACACTGGTCATTCCTCCTTTCTTTCTATTTAACAACCATGATTTAGGTCCTGTCAATCATTATCACTGAATTCTAACAACAAGTGCCTCCAACATTAGGCCTCTCCTACTTTCCAGATTTTAAATATTAATTGCCACTACATCTCCTTCAGGTTTATAGTCGAAGACCTCGTCCATAGCAAACACCACATGACTCACTCCCAGTGCCAAATACTCTGTCTCCTCCGGCTCCGCCCACTGAGTCTGACCTTCCTATTGCCTTTCGTAAATGTATACGTTATACTCGTAATCCTTCTCCACATTATACTGCTTTGAGTTACCATAGAATTTCTTCACCTTTTTATACCTGCCTCTCATCTATCTCTTTTGTGTCTATTCCTAAATTTGTCCCTGAAGCCTTAGCCCACCCTGGTTGGCGTCAGGTCATGCTAGATGAACTCAGTGCTCTTCAGAATAGTGGAACCTGGGAGCTCGTCCCATTACCATCTGGAAAATCTGTTGTTGGTTGCAGGTGAGTCTTTGCTATCAAAGTTGGTCCTGATGGTACCATTGATCGCCTCAAAGCTCGCCTTGTAGACCCAAATTTTTGGATTGGATTATGGTGATACTTTCTCTCCAATGGCAAAGATGACTTTTGTTCATTAATTCATCGCCATGGCTGCTCTTCAACAATGGCCTCTTTATCAACCGGATGTCAAAAATATTTTCCTTAATGGAGATTTGCAAGAAGAAATTTATATGGAGCAACCTCCCGGATTTGTTGCTCAGGAGGAGTCTTCTGGATTAGTATGTCGTCTTCGCAAATCTTTATATGACCTAAAACAGTCTCCTAGGACTTGGTTTGACAAATTTAGCAGTGTTGTTCAACAATTTGGCATGATTAGAAGTGAGGCAAACCACTCAATCTTTTACCGTCACTCAAGTGTTGGATGTGTCTATTTGATAGTGTATGTTGATGACATTGTTCTTACAGGCAGTGACCACCATGACATCTCCCAGATGAAACAACACCTTTGCCACTATTTTCAAACCAAAGATCTTGACAAACTCAGATATTTCTTGGGTATTGAGGTGACACAATCTACTGATGACATTGTTATATCTCAAAGAAAGTATGCATTGGATATTTTGGACGAAACTAGATTGATGAATTCAAAGCCTGTTGACATACCCATGGATCCTAATACCAAACTCCTACCAAATCACGGGGAGCCTATGTCAGATCTTGAGCAATATAGAGAATTGGTTGGAAAATTAAATTACCTTACAGTTACTCGTCCTGATATTTCCTTTGCAGTCAATGTGGTGAGTCAATTCCTCAATTATCCATGTCAAGATCATTGGAATGCAGTCATCCGTATATTAAAGTACATCAAAGAGTCTCCTGGAAAAGGTTTATTGTATGGTTCTAATAATCATACAAGAGTTGTTTGTTATTCAGATATTGATTGGGTAGGATCTCCCTCTGATAGAAGATCTACATCTGGGTATTGTGTCTCCATTGGTGGTAATTTGATCTCATGGAAAAGTAAGAAACAGAGTGTTGTGGCAAGATCCAATACAGAAGCAGAATATAAAGCTATGGCCTCAGCTGCTTGTGAACTTGTTTGGCTTAAGCAATTGCTTAAAGAGTTACAATTCGGAGATGTCACTCAAATGAAACTTGTGTGTGACAATCAGGTTGCTCTTCATATTTAATCCTGTCTTTCATGAGAGGACCAAACACATTGAGATTGACTATCATTTCATTCAAGAAAATATTATGTCCGGAGACATCAAGATTGAGTTTGTTAACTCAAGTAATCAGTTAGCAAATATTTTTACTAAGTCTTTACGGGGGTCTAGAATTGATTATCTTTGTAGCAAGCTTGACACATACGATTTGTATGCTCCAGCTTGAGGGGGAGTGTTAGATATGTTTAGATATTAGTTGATATTGTTTGATATTGTTGAGATATTGTTAGATATTGTTAATCACAATATCAAACAATATCTTCTATTTACCCTATTTGTATTTGGTTACTCGTTTTAGTTGTACCTCTCTTTATTATAAATACATTGTCCTATATGTGGTTAAGACACAAGGGAGATTAATCCTATACAGTTTTTCCTCTATATTCAACATAGACATAGCATTTTCATATCATCTTGGCATTGTCAACTACCTAGGAGTTGTTTCTTGAGTGAGTTGTACCTTCATAGAGGTAGAAATAGACCAAGCTACTCGACAGGGGCCTATGACAAGCACACACCATACTACTAGACTTTTTGAAAAAATAGATCAAACTTAGACTTTTATTAAAGCCTATTTTGTTAACAGGCCAACATTCATATAATATATAAAAGCGGGGACGACCATACAAATCGGTTTTGTAGGGTTGCGCCTTATAACTCAAATTCTGAGTTCATTCATCACAATATCTTTAATTATCTGTATCATTCAAGAATGAATAAATGGCATGGACGAAATCTGATTACAGAGGTTATTTTACCTCCACAAAAGTGCTGACTGCACTTTCCTTCCTTCAGGCATCTCACTGTCAATCCCATCATCATCTTCCCTCATTGATAGAAGAACCATCCGAAGCATGCACAAGAATGGCTGGTCACTGTCTAAAAGCTGGTATAACGCAGTCATTGCTCCCATTCCAGTACCTGAGCCTCCACCTATACCAAGACCACCACCGTGCCCAGACTCATCTAGCAACAATGCTTGCAGCATTGCCACAGACTTCTTCACCAATGGAAGCTCTGGCCAGTAGCCATTGGCATCTTTCTCCAATATAGACTTCCAAAATTCCCATCCACTACCGCCACCACCAAATGAAGCTGTATTTGATGGAAGGCCAACACCGTACCACAAACGGCTTCTATATTTCCACCCAATAGCTAAATCCTTAGCACAAGAACCATATGATACAAAAGCACAAGAAACAGACTCATATGGATCAGCTGCAGCTGCTGCAGCGAGCTTTTCAATAACTGAAGCCGATATTTGACCATTTGCATCAGCCATTGAAGAGAGTACCTAAAAATTTGACAGTACAAGTCTCACCATTATAGAAACAAACACATGCAAGACTACGAGAGAGAGAGAGAGAGAGAGAGAGAGAGAGAGAGAGAGAGAGAGAGAGAGAGAGAAAAAGAGAGGGGGGGCGGTTAATAGAATTAAATTAACAATAATGTAAATAAACTAAAAGTAGGAAGGAAACAAAACAAGAAAAAAACATTTCTCAATCCTAAGGGCCTTGCCAACAGATGGTTACTTACGGAGAAAACAGATAAAGCATTGTTAACAAAAAAAGAAATTTAAACTTAAATGTGCAACCTGGCATAATTAATGATTTTAGAAAAGGCTTATAAAGAATAGATGTTATGCAACCATTGCATGAATTTTGTAGCAAATGCAAATTATGTTGTTTATGACACATAATGCGCATGCATGTCTACTTTTAAATTACTGTAAGCATACATCAAGAGAGACTCCTCCAGAGTTTCTAGATGATGATGTGCGATCACCCCTAACATCTGTTGCTTCTGCTAAGTTATAATGGATTGGATAAAAGAGAGAGAGAGGAGATGGAGAGCCATCTGTAGCACGTGAAGAAGAGGATTGCTTGCTCTGTGACCGTACATGATCCTCAACAAGCATAAGTATCACAATGACATTCTCTACTAAAGCCACAGACAGGTGAGTAGCAATCTCAGCCTCTGCCTTCGCTGCATTTGCAGACAAACCCTCGGCAGCAACACCGGCAGCAGCCATAGCAATAATTTGAGTCTGCAGAAAGGAAAACCTGAATGTAGACATTATTTCTGTTTTTTTCCCTCTTTCAACAAAAAACAATAAAAAAAAATATATATATATATATATATATATATATATATTTATATATTTAATTGCATTTGTCCTTATATTGTATCTGACTTTTGTTGGCAAAGGTGTGGTTTTCCACACTTTCGTTTCTCGTAGGGAGTTTGGTTTGAACCCTGTATTTCTTTTTCTTTAATAATATTTCTAAGAATGTTACATGTGATTGATACAAGTTGTTGAGCTAACCTAGTAAGGTTTGCAACCATTCTTTCCATATTAAATAAAAATACATTTTAATAGCCAAAATTAACCAATAGGGAAAAAACATCGGAAGACAAAAAGATAAAAATTTTCCTGTAATGAAACTGTTCATTAGGAAAAGTCAATGAAGATTGGAAACAATATGTACCTGGACCTGCAATTCACTAGAAGCGAAGTCCAGCAAGCCACCAAAGAGTCTTCTCTTAAATATGGGTAATGATTCTTCACGCCTTCAATACATCAACCAAGGAAAAATGGTGACATAAACCATGACAAGAAAAAAAATTAGTATCTCTTCAGTGTAAACTTTTTATCGAGACAAAGGAATAATAGGATAGTATAGAAAGAGCCTACGAAAAATTTCCCAAAATTCTTTCTAATATTTTTCTACAAAGCTAGACTAGGATCATGGCAAAGTATTCGGAGAGGGAAAAAGTAAGAAAATCACATTAAAATAGACAAGTGTATGTCAGTAGCCTAATATCATAGAGCAGTCTTATTCATAGAACTGTGCATCCATTATCATGAATGCTACTATCAGCTATTATTCGCGCCTGTCTTTCAGACATCATTGTTCCTCATTGGGCTTCCTGTCAATCAATAATGAGCAGATCTGGGAGTGTCTGCATATTTTATTCCATTTTAGAACTTATCATCACCTGATTTAAACTTACATTACGTGAAATTTACAATTTTCCAAAGATCCAGAATATCTTTGATTCAGTTAACCTTCGGGATTAGCTTCGCAACCTAGGACATATATTGCAATGATATGTTGTGTTTCAATTCCAAATAGTGACACTTCAAGAAAATATGACTTTTGTTTCACTAACAACAATAAAATAAGATAATTTCATAGCATCCAAAATTCTGCCCAGAAAATTTATAAAGCATTCACTCCCAAAGTTTGAGATCATTCTATATGCTTGACATAGGTCCAAAGATTAAAAGCATGCTTTTATACTACAATATAGTTAAATGTTTAGTTCAGAAACAATGGGTATGTTAGACATGCACTTTCTGTTAGATTCTAGCTTTTTTATCAGTTGAAGAGTTTGATCGACCTTATTAATAGAGATTAATAAAAATTATTATGTTACTTCAAGTAGCATACTAATTAACTTATGGCTTCCTATATATTATGCCCTTATTTTCCTCAAAATATTTATTAAATTTATTACTTACCTTATTTTGTCAATAAAATTAAATTAAAATTTATATAATAATACCATATAAACATGTCCATATTTATCATTTGTGTCAATAGATAATTTTATCAAACATTTACGATTCAATGAGCTAGCTCAATAGTTTTCAGTTACCAATTAGCTTTTCAACTACCTATACAAAATACAGCCATTGTCGAACAATAGGAAATAGCAAAAGGAACAGACTACCATGATGGAGCTGGGTGCATAGTTAAAGAAGAAGGAAAGGTAAATGAGCTCAAAATGGTTATAAACTTACCTAATTCGCTGCTCTCCTGTGCTAGATCCACCTATAATTGAAAGCCATTCAGCACAATGAATTGCTGCTTCAATATCCTACAAAATTGAGCAACAGTAAGTAGTGTATGAATGAACCTGATAACAGCAGAAATAAGGAAGCTAACAAATAGGAATTCTTCCACCACAAATATTACATGGTGACTAAAATATTCCACAAAATTTCTGCAGTCAATTGTTGCACCATATGGAAATTCTAGCTTAAGTTAAAATATCACAATTACACGATGTCATGTGTAAGAAAAATATTTTATATTTATATTTCGTAATACATATATATAGTAGAAAATATGAAATATTATTGATAACTAACTGTACAGGAGCCCTCCTCTTTATGCAGGGAATCACCTAAAATAGGAAAACAAAATCCTAAATTAGGGAAAAAAATATGTGAGAATGATGAGTTGCCTAAAATAGGCCGAACTAGAAAAAATTAAAAATTTCAAGGAAACAAAATAATTACACTATTAGAATTAATTTCAGAAATATTTCATTGTATCAAATAGAGCTTAATACTCTTTCAACACCCAGTCAACATAAATGTACTCAGCCCTAGGGTTTAATATATATTTCTTAATCATATGGTTCTAGAAATGTTATCAAATAAGACAGTTTTGTTTTATTTTACAGTCACTTTTGGCTTCTGATTTTTATTGGTTTCTTAGAGTGCAAAACATCATCGCACCAAGACCCCCTGGTAGTATCTTCTTTTATTTTTACCCGCTGAACCAAATTTATTTCAATTATATATTTAAAAAACAGAAAAACAAAAAGAAGAAAGGTTATTTTGTATATCTAAATGTGATATGAAACTCAAACATAACCAAACCTTTTCACAAGGTGTGGTTAGCTACTTTGATCAAATAACTCTGAGAATATTTGTTTCACGTTCAAGTCTCGTCTAATAATATGGCATTCATTAATTAGAACTCCAACAATAGAAACAAAGAAATAATATAAAAATATTTAAAAACAAACTATTGCATGAACATGCAGTAGCCGGATATCATGAAAGTGTCACACCTAAAATAGAAAGCTGATAATGCAAATAAACATCAACCTTCCATCCATCCTTTTGGCGCATTGAACGTTCTAGCATGATAACAAGAAATTTATATATAAGGTCCTCTATGTCCCCAAGACTTGTCGAATCACATGATTTGCTTGGACCCAACTGCTCAAACAAAAAAAGCATGTACAATAAATAATCACATTAAACAAGAAGTTGACATGTATTCTCACACATAAGTTTATCTTCAAAGCACACTAATTTGGAAACTTACCATCTTGCAAACAGGTTGTATTAGAGTATAGGCCTAGTGCAGTTCATTATGCTTTGTGTTTTTCAGTAGCTACAGAATTTCTAGTTGTTATAGTTTTTTCTGTTTTAACTAACTGACAGACATATGCCATATGTCACTGGCCTGATCCATATAGGCTGCAAGCTCTATGAACAGTGTTCCATCAGTTTTCCCTCTTGTATTCTCTATCTAAAATCAGAAGTTTTCACTCTTCCTCTCCCTCTTTGATGTTCCTCTATCCGTCACTCTGTGTATCTTTCTCTAGATGATCCTGAAGAGTACATCCTCCACCACATGCTGAGGTAGATCATTTATCCAAAGGGTTAAATCTCAACTCCTGCTTAGGATCATATAAAGGGCTTCTAATACAACTTAGATTTACTAATGAGAATCAAAACCTAAAATTAAATTTAAGTTCTTTTCTACTCCAAGAAAAAGTATTTTTAAATGAATTTTAAAACTTAAACCATTTAATTATTGCTTTTATTAAGTCTACAATCGATAATGAAAAAGACCCTTGTGAATTATTGGTTTTTATTAAGGTTGTAACATAAAACTAATTGAGAATATGTGAAATAGCTAATAGATATTTAAACTATACCACATGACATTATACAGATGATGTGGGACTTCCAACAAACTCCCTTCAACGAAGTCTATTGAACCAAGCAAAGGGTACTTTTGACCCATAACGAAATGACAACTCTTGGTCCAAAACAACAATCAGAAATACCATGTTAAAGTTCCAACATAAAACTAATTGACAATATGTAGAGTAACTTAATAGGTACTATACCACATGACATGAGGTAGGTGAAGTAGGACTTTCAACAGTTTCAAATGTAGCTTTTCAGCCAAAATTTTATGATAATCAATCATGGCCTCCCAACAATTGATTATACGTTGAAACTTTATTCTCAACCTTTCAAAGGGGAAGATTTAGAGTTTTTATTGAATTTTATTAGACAGAAATGAAGAGTAGTAAAGAAATGAAAAAAATATAAGAATAAGAACTATATAAATTATTACCTCATAGTTTGAAATTAGGACCTCGAGAATCCATTCAGGCCATTCCTCCATATTGGTCAGAACCTCTCTGTTTTCTGGATGATTGCAAGCCAAAAATAGAAGATCCTGTACACAAACAGGAAGCTCAAAACCTAGCTGGGTGTAAAACAAGTTCTCCAGTAGGAAATACTTGCACTACTGGAACTCTTACTTCATTGGAGTAAATTCCATAAACAGACATTCTATATGGCAGTGGCATGTGCATGCACTACGTTCCTTAACTGCGTAGTTACAGCCAAGACTTGCAAAAACAGAACTTCAATCATAAGACCAGAAAGAAATGGAAAGACTATAGAATTAAATGATAGTGCTACTGCATTAGTATTCTAACTGTCATCCCAACCATGTTGACATCAAAATTAGCAACAATCATTAGCAGCACACCATGAATCCAATAAAAAAGAAAAAAAAAAAAGGAAGAAAGATAACACAAGAGTAGGGGACTAAGCCAATACCCACTAAGTAAACGTATAACATGACAACTGCAATTTATCCTGAAGAAGTCAGGGTTTACAACTGAAGGAATGTTGTCCCACCATGTTTCCGTCCCTAAAAGCATGAGTGAAATGAAAAAGAATATGACTAGCCTTAACTAAGCAAAATTCATCTATTAATTTTGAAGCCTCCAAGGTATAATATTGATGTTTATAAAAGCATGAACAACTAATTAGGGGTCACTCAATCCAAAGTTTGGTCCATCCTTTGCTAGTAGCAATCTCCACATCCACAATAGCTCCCATGGCATCTGCAAAAAAGGCTGATTGAACACCAAGGAATAAAGGAAAACAGCCTAAAACCGATGCCCTTTGATCCCTGAACATCTCACCACATGCAGAAATGCCAGGGGTCTCTTTAGCACCTCTAACAGTATTTATTACATTTCACCCAATACCATGGTGGAGGAATCCATCTAGAGGGCAAAAATAGGGCCCTTATTTGGATGGCCATCAACCCCAAAAGATTTAAGAATGATGAACTCGAAGATAGTACATCTTATAACACCAGTACATGCATTTCCAGCTAAATTGGCATCAGAGTAGATTTTGTTTTTCCTACTATCATATTTCAGCTAACCAGTTTTAAAACAAATAAAATTTCTGCTAGACCATTTTAAAACTGTTGATATGATTTGATTCCACTAGGAGATATGATATGATTGGATAGAGAAATATCTTACCAAATATTTCTCATTCTAAGGTATTGAATTTGTTCCTCATTATTGTATCTATTCTTCATTAGAAATAAGAGTACTCATGTATACAAATAACACAATTACAAGTAATCCATTTGATAAAATTTAAGATTTTTAGTTTTTTTTTTTTCCTTCCCCCCTTTTTTCTTCACACTATGTCTCCACCATTATCCTTTTCGCTGCCAGCTTCTCTAGCTTGACCAACTGCCGACATGCCACACAACCAGAATCACATCCCTTTAGTGACCAGTTTTGTCCCCAGCCTACTGCTGTCTACTGCCCCATGCACCGCTACTCTCTTGTGCATAAAATTCATGCACCTCATGTCTTGGCATGCTGCTTCCCTTCCGACATGTGCCTTCCTACAGTGACCCTTCTTCCTTGCTCCTCCTCCTTCAGCTACTCTGTTTCGTGGCTGTTTGGTATAACATTGTTGTTCTATGGCTATCTGTGTTTGCCAATCTATTTGGCTGTCATGACTCTGTTTTTTTCTTTGGATTAAATGTTTTGCTGTGTTTAATGCCTACCACCACTTCTACTGACTTTGTTGTGACCTTAACCTTTTTTTTTTTTTAAATTACCTGTGAAAAACTCACAGCAAGAGCCAACTACACCACTTGAGCTGCTACTGTCCAGTTGAAGTTTCAAGGACATGGCTGTGCTGCCAACTTGACCATTACAATCATGAATGTCCCAACCATCAATCATGCATGTTGAACGCAAATTGACTCCACTCTATGTAGTGTTCTCTTGTCTTCCCTTGCTCCCAACTTCGAAGCACAATTCAAGGCATTTAATGCTTGTGTTAATGTGTGGACAAAAAGCAAGAACATTAAATTAGAAAACATTGACATCCAAACATATCTTTAGGGATGGCAAAATAGGTCTGCCTCACCCCACTTAACCCACCAATCCGGCGGGCCAAGGGTGGAGTAGGCCAGGCTGGCCCACTTTAAAAAGTTATTTATATATTAAACTTAAAAAAAATTATAATTAAAAATATTAAATTTTTTGGTGCTATGATATTGAAATATATAAATATACTATAATATTATAATTTAAATTATAAAATTAATCAATTAAGTTTAAATTATTAATTATAATTAGTTATTTTAACACACAAATATAGTATTTTTTGTAATTTATTTGATAAAATGTTATCTAATAAATAAAAACTTAAAAATTATTTATATAATTAAATATATATTTTAAAAAAATACATATAAACAAATTTTATATATAAAAAAAAATTATTAGTAGGTCTGATCCGTTCGCTCGATCGACCCACCCTTTAGTGGCCCGGGTTGGGGTCTATAGCCTGTCCTAATATGGCCAATCACCCCATTTTTAGTAGGCTAGAGACAAGGCAGGCCAAAATAGGACGGGTTAACCCATTTCCATAAGCTCTTTGCAAATATCCCACTTTTAAGTTATGCCGTATGCTAATCATGCAGAGAGACATTCCATGGACAATTCTTCATGGTTGTTTCTCTTGCTAGAATACTACCTGACCTTGCTATAGTTCGAAATCAAATTTTATTGTGACTCACTAATCCTACTTGTGACATAGTCCAAGAGTAGTTGTTACATCTTGTTGGAAGTCTCACATTAACTATCTCATGTTATGTGGTACGGTTTAAATACCTGTTAGACTATTCCACGTATTGTCAATTGGTTTTATGTTGAAACCTTAACATAGTATCAGACCAAAGCCTAACTTCTTTCCGGTTATTATTTGGGACCAAAAGTTCCCTTTCGTTGTTGGTCAAAAGTTGCCCTTAAAATACCCTTTGGCTGATCCAGCAGGCTTCGTTGGAGGGGGCATGTTGAAAGTTCCACATCGTCTGTCTCATGTCATGTGGTATGATTTAAATACCTGTAAGCTACTCCACATATTACCAATTGATTTTATGTTAGAACCTTAACACATCTCTCCATTCCACATACTTTTTATCCTCTTCCACATCTAATAGGCTATTCTCTACCTTTATCTCAAAATCATCCACAATGGAAGACATGGCTGTCATGGACATGTTCTTCGTTGCAACTAATGTAAAAATTGGGGACATGTTGAAGCAAACTGTCAAACCAAAGGTAAGTCCAAGTCTCAAACCATCAACGTGGCCTAAGTCACCACTCCATCTTCAAATATTGTTATCTTTGTCGTTGAATATAACGAGTTCCTCAAGCTTCCTGCAACCAATGAAAGTGTCTTACATAATATTATTGTGACACAATTTGGTAACCCTGTAGCCTTCATTTCCCAACTCACCTAATTGGGATCTTCAATTCTTGACTTGGTCCCTCTAATCAAATGACTGACAGGGAGAAGTCTCAATTAGTCAATGTGGCCAAAGTTACCACTCCATCCTCAAATATTAATATCTTTTCCGTAGAATATAACAAGCTTCTCAAGCTTCATGCAACCAATAAAGTTGCCTCACCAGTTACTATTGTGACACAATTTGGTAATCTTGTAGCTTTCATTTTCCATTCCCCTTATTTGGACTCTTAATTCTTGATTTTAGTGTCTCTAATCATAAGACAGGTAACCAATCTCTTTTCTCTTCATCAACTCCATTGGACATCTTGCCTTCTTTACTCTCATAAATGGCTCCCAAATTAAAATTCGAAGCATGAGACAAACCCATCCTTTTCCTAATCTTTCCTCACATTTTATCTTATTTGTTCTTGATTGTCCATTTAGTTTAATCTCAATACACAAACTCACTTCCACTATTTCTCTCTTGTTTGTCAATAATTACGTTTTTGTACAATTGGATGGATGGATGATTGGAGCATGACATGAGTTTGCCAGGATTATACAAACTCACACCTCAGGCGGCTTGTGTCTTTTTTGTATCCTTTGATCTTGTAGATCAACATCTTTGACACCCATGTGTCAGAAATCGAGTTTGTTTTTTTATACGTTTTCCAATGCTAAATCCTTTCAGTGTAAGTTGTGTCAGTTAGGTAAATAAATTTGTAATAGTTCTAGTCCTCGTGTCAATAAGCATGTTGCATCACCTTTTCTTTTTATTGCATGCATATTGTGAGAAAGTCCGTTAAAGCCAATACCTGTAATGCTCTGCTCTGCAGAGACCTAGGTGCAAGCGGAAGGGAATGTAAAAGCGCTAATAGTAGCTGTGAATGCTCAAAGCGATGACCAGAATCATTTAAGTTTAGCCCATTCTCTGTTGAAGAAGCATTGATCTGAAACAAAAAAAAAAAAAGGAAAATGAAAAACATTAGCTATCATCAATAGATGGTCAAGAGAATTACATGAACACCATCAGAAAAGCGACAGATAAAGCATGCAAGAACATGATCGCATTTGGATATATAAATACATCGTTAAATATATCATCTTGCCAGTAATAATTAAAATAAATGAGGCATTAACAATATTTACAATCTTCTCTACCCTAGTAGGTTTCTTCTTTTTACTAGTGGATCGTATTCAGTCCACTATGATTTTGATGTGATCACAACCATGATGTTTTTTCTTTGACATGCCTACTTATCAAACTGTCACTCTCTAATGACCACCACGCTATTAAATCCACTTCGAAGCGCCACCACACACACTTCCCTTTTTCTTGTATATCAAATAGGCATATAACAGAACTAGGATTGTTAAAATAGGTCTGGTCCGATGGGTCAATCTGAAAACCCATAAAATAGGCTAGGTTAGGCCAAAAAATTGTAGCCTAAATTGAGTCAGATCATTTTTGGCTCAGCCCATTTAGCTTGGGCTAGACCAGCCTGTTAGTTTAAATAATCTTTTTATTTAAATATTTTTAATCAAATTTTTGGATAAATTATTTATATAGACATGTTATTATTTTTATTTTTAATCAGGAAAAATTGATTTATTGGTCGTAAGCCTAACATAGGGATAGGTTAGGTCACAAAATTATAATTCATTTGAAAATATGAGTCAAGACAGGCTGAGTCGAACAACTCATTTTGACAACCCTAACCAAAACAATATATGAGCCTTTTTGGTGTGAGCCATAGACCATAACCCCTTTCTAAGACTCTTTTTAACTTGTTTTCTTATGGCCTCCATTGATCAGCATCAATGTTCTTGGGAAACCAACCCTAACCAAAACAATATATGAGCCTTTTTGGTGTGAGCCATAGACCATAACCCCTTTCTAAGACTCTTTTTAACTTGTTTTCTTATGGCCTCCATCAATAAGCATCAATGTTCTTGGGAAACCAACCCGAAAAGCTAACTATTATGGAGGAGGAACCAAATAGTATGACACTTCACTTCTAGTGATTATATCCCCACAAGACAGCGAACTCTAATAACAATTGACAAACATTCAAGTACTTAAGAATTGAACCTGAAAAGCTAGCTATTAAGGGGGAGAATCAAACTCTTAAATATTCCACCACGAATCCCATACTACTAGATGTGGGACTTAGGTACCTCAATACCAAAGTCCCTATTATTATGTCTTGGAATTTGGTTCTACTATGACATTTACTAATGTTGCATTGATCCCACATGAAAATTTGACCAGGACAACAAACTTTGGAACTTGTGCTGCCATTTTTTATCTTTGATTCCAAGACTCAGATCATTTTGCACACTATGCAAACAAAGAATGTTCCCACAAGGATTGGTTCTCCTTTTTTACATTATTGTTACACATTATATATGAGGAACTATCTCATTCAATGAATAACATAATCATACTTTTTTTCTATCTTTTACCACATAGTATCAAAGCCCTTACAACTGGATTCTTTAATTCGTACTTGTGTAGCCTTTATTGCTGAAATTGTCTGCGAAAACCAACTTGGTCATTGAACTAGTTGAGTCAATGGGTTAATTGTCAAATTGTTGAATCACTCATTAACCTGGTAAATCCAATCAAAATGAAAATATATATATATATATATATATATATATATATTATTTATGCCTAACTCGTTTGAATAGGTTTTCGATTGGCCCGATTGGATTAACCTAAGTAGCACCGAGTGATATGCATAACTAGTCCAATCATCAACCCAATTCAGTCTATGATCTCAACCAGACAAGTCAAGTTGGTCAAAGTTTAGTAATTGTGCCTGCAACACTCTCTCTTCCACAAGCTAAGGTAGCATTAATAGCTTCACATGTGTTCTTGCATTAAGACAACCTCGATCACTACATATTTTGATATTTGCAAAATGAAAATCTATACAGCATTATTGTTGCATCTTATTGATTTTAAGGTATTACACCCATCATTATCTCTAAAGAAGAAACAAAAAACCACGACAACCAACAACCATGGTAACAAGTCCAACAAAGTATGCAAGCATCTTTTAGAATTTGTGGAAAGAGTTGGATCATTACTATATATTTGTCATCAAGTGCATCAAAGATACAACCATTTTGAACAATGACATCACAAAAGATCGTGTATATAATCTTCTAGTTGGACTCAGTCCTCAATTTGGCTAGGGTATGATTCAAATTCTTAGTAGGAACCCACCATCCTCAAGAGAAGCTATCTCTAGGTAGAATAAAGTAGAAGTGTCTTGCTTGAGCCTTAAAACATAGAAGGTTCAACGTTGGCAACCAAACAAGAGCTAATTCACCTTCTAAATCTAGCTCTTTTGCTTTTCAAGTATACTTTCTATATGAATATTTCATCTTGTGACATTTATTGGATAATTGACTCAGGTGCTACAAATCATATGACTCCCACATCACAATTTATCCATTCCTACAATCCTTGTCCAAGAAATACAAATATTGTGGTAGCAAATGGGCCTAGAACTACTATTGCAGGTGTTGGAGACATACATTACTCCAACAACTATTTTGAAAGATATTCTCCAAGGGCCAAAATTATTGACCAATCTTGTTTCTATTAGGAAGCTTACTAATAATCTCAAGTGTTATGTTACTTTCTTTCCATCCTATTGTTTCTCTAGGAGCAAGGATCGGAGAACAAGATTGGACTTGGTGAAGAGAGAAACGACCTTTACGCCTTTACCATCCAGAAGTTGAAGACTTCAAGAAAAAAAAAATTTAATTTATATTTCTTAGTTCCTTCAATAAGGATATGATTTGGCTCCATCAACTTCATTTAGGACATTTGTCATTTAATATTTTAAAACAAATATTTCCTCAATTTTTTCAAGGATTAGATGTCACTAAATTTCATTGTTATGTATTTGAGTTGGCTATAAGCACACATGCATAGCCTTCCCTTCCAGTAATAAAAAGTTCCCATCCTCTTGATTTAGTATAGTGATGTTTGCGAACTTTATGTTGTTTGTAATGTTTCTAGGACTCATTGGTTTTCATCATTAATTGATGATTGCACATGAGTTACATGAATTTTTTTTCTCAAACAAAACTCTAGTGTAAGAAATAAATTCCTAGTCTTCACTCAATTTGAGAACAAAATATCCATGATGTATTGTAATAATATTTAGTAATTTATTATTTCCATATGAAACAAAAGAATGAATACTAGAATATTTGATGACAAGGTTTTTCATGGATGAACATTACAATAGAAACAAAAAACATGACAAAATGAAAATGCCGTATATATTTCATTGTTGAGTTCCTTGAAACAAAAGCAAAGATGGGAACTTTAAACTAGTGGCCTGGTCATGTGCCCAGTCAAATTTTCCCTTTTGTTTGTTTGCAGCCACCTCAAACAACCATTGTTGTTGTCTACAATACAGTTTCCAACCATCTCCCTTTTCTACTATCAACTTTTCCAACAAGTGTTAGTCAATGACTACTTTTATTACCCAATGACAATAATTTTAGTAGTGTCTTTCTTCCCACATATTAGGATACTACGAGCAAGTTCTTTCCCACTAACAATTATTTCAAAGGAGACTCTTCCCATATATGTATCATATTAGTAGTGACTCATTTCCCATTGACGATTATACAATGGTAATTGCTTTCCCACTCTTGAGAAAAACTCAAGTCCCACATAGATTAGAGATAAAACAAGATAAAGTATATAATTTGAGGGCAATCCTCATCCACAAGATGGTTTTGTGATGTTGAGTTATACACAAACCTATAATTTTAAATTATATCAAAGTCTACCACCTACCACATTATCCATGCATTAAGTACAATAGTGGGACATGAAGGAGTGTTTTATAAAAAAAAAATTGAGTCCCATGTTGACTAGATATAAGACCCAAATAGAGTGTATAAGTGGAGGAAAATGCTCACCTCATAATCTGGTTTTGTAGGGTTAAATTAAGTTTTAACGCTTATTTTAAAATAATATCATAACTTATCTTAGATTTGCTAATTGAAAAAAAACTCTCCCCTAGTACACTGATTTTGTAGGGTTAAATTAAATCTGAACCCTTATTCTAAAATAATATCATAATTTATCTTAGATTCTATTGGGTCACCTATCTTATTATCTATGCACCAAGTCCAAAAATTTTGGAATGATCTAGCATATTGTGAAAACTTAAAGCCCCTCAATGCTAAAAGTATGACCAAAACAGAGTATAAAGTGGAGGGTCACCATCACCTTACAAATTGATTTTTTAGAGCAGGCCCAAATCCATATTCTATGACCCAACCATAGTATTGTTGTTTCGAATCCTCCAATTATGGTTTGAGAAGGTCAAACCTTGCTTTGCTTGCAAAGAAATTTCTCTCAGCCATGTGATCATTCCAGCTATCTTTCTAACTATTATTTTCGGCTTCTCCAGCATCCCTGAGTTTCACTTTCAACAAGTTTTCTGATGGAACGCATTTTAAGCTATTTATTTATTTATTTTTATTTTCATGGAAATGAACTATTTTCTAATAACAAGCTGAAATGTTAGCAAACTTCAGCTTAAGGTTTCACCTTGAGGAGGAATGTTAGGAAACATGTAAAATATTTTATGATATCATTTTTATATCTTAAGATTATTTTAGAGTATTCTAGATGATCTCTTAGGATTTATTATTCTTTCATATTTTATGACTTGTTTCTCTATTAGGATATTTGTAATCATAGACATATCTAATTAAAATCAATTCATTAGAATCTGATTTAAAACATATCACATCATGTATATAGAAATGAAATTTCTTGTAGTTATTTGTATTTATCGTAATCAGTATGTATTTATTGCAATCATATATACCTGATCTCAACATATCTTGCATCTATTTCTCTCTTTCAACAAAATATAAGAGTGATTTTACCCATTTTGTCTAAAAAGTATATGTAACCCATAGCCATAGAATGTAAATAATATGGATAGTATATATGTAAAAGAAAGAATGTAAAAACTATATCACATATAATTAAGCTGGAAGAATTATAACCTTTATTCATATTGAAAAGAAAAAAACATTCACATTCTTAAATATCTACACACTTGGAAAAAACAAACAAACACCTATAAGATTATAATGGCCAAAGAAAATAAGCTTATACTAAATAAAGCATGAGTATTGCATTAAACATAAAAAATATTTTCCATTTTCATAGTATAATATAAGTAATTGCCACTAATAGTATCCTTCCATTTGCATGCACTAGGGACTAGGGATAAGGTAGAGAGAGTATGTCATACCGAGGCAGTCAATAAAGCTGTATAGACATTGTTTGTCATCAGTCTACGGGGTGCTGCTTGGAAAGCCTTTTGTAAGGCATAAAAAAGAAAAGAAACCTTATCATCAAACATTGTACTTGCTCCATCTTGCAGTCCAACACCCAAAAGGTTACTTGCTGTATCAAGACCAGCACGAGAAGCAAACCTCAGATGCCCAGAAGCGACTAAAGCACCTAATAAACCTACAACCCCAACAACAATGCCATCATTGTTATCAACATTATAAACATTTTTCCTAGCACTGTCAGCACTGATGGATAGACTTATGCCTCCCAAATTCTTGACAGACGGAATTTCTGATGTAATTGTCATCCTTTCATTATACACATCAGGAGAACCAGGATCAATGTTACTGCTACTATCAGCAGATTGACAATCATCATCACTTTGTAAGATGGCTTCATTTTTCCCATTTGATCCTTCATCATCCTGACAAGTTTCTGTGATTTCTGTGCAACCATTAGTTTCATTTTTTCTAAATTCAGGATTCTTTTGCACCGATTCCTGGACATCACTTTCTCCAGCTTTAGCTTCCCTCTGGAGAAGAACAAGAAGAGTTTCTATCCCACCACATGCTAGGAATGCTTTTGCAAATGAGTGAGCTCTAGCTGTATTAGGCTGCACAACCAACCTGTACAAGAGATGTAACACCCTGGCAATCTGGAAAATGAAGCAAATAAAGATTAAAATTTTCTTCAATTTAGATAACTGAGTTTAAAAATTAAACCAAAGCATAATAAACTGATGTTCCTGTTAGAATCATTACTTCCTACTATTATCATTAGACCTAAGTATAGGGTGTTGAGTGTGAGAAACCTTTTACATCTGTATCTAGATCTGCACCTAGAGTCCTAGTTGCAATCTCTTAGTCTTCTATGTCTTATTGTATCAGATTTCCATTATAAATAGAAGAAAGGGAAAAGGGTCAAATAAGTCCTGAAGATATATTTTTTCTCTATTAATCTTAAGTTGGTATCAGAGCAGAGCAGGTTGGTTCTGCTCTGCCCTTCCGGTCACCGTCCAGCCCCCGTCAGGCCACTGTCCAGCCACCGTCCAACCACTTTTCGACCACTTTCCGGCTACATTCTGGTCACTTTTCGATCACTTTCCGGCAACCGTCCGACCTCCTTGTCCAGTCACTTTTTTTGTTGTTGTCTGACGACTTTTCGACCACATTCCGGTGACATTTCAGCCACTGTCCAACACTCTCAAGCAACTATCAGCCGACGCTGCAGCCAGGCGCGTGCCAGTCCACGCGCCGGCGTGCACTCGCCGGATCATCACCGCGCAACCTCAGTAGCTTTCACCAGAACCTCCTCTGTTCATTTTGGTGAAGTACAGACGTCCCCCTTTCGGAAATCTCCCTAGGACTTTTAAAATCTTTGCTGTTTTTGCGTATCTGCTCTTTGTTTTTTTGTCCTCTTGATCAGAAATGGCAACTAGAAGTGTTGAAAGCACTAGTTCATTCTTTGGAAGTCCTTCCATTACTTCTGAGAAGCTAAACGAACAAAATTACCTCTCTTGGTCCACTGCTGTCGAGATGTAGTTCCTTGGCTAGGGACATCATGACCATTTTAAGAAAGACGGAAGCCATGTGCCTAAAGAAAAAGCTAAACAGTGGAAGCAAGCAGATTTTCAGTTGTGTGTCTTGTTGTGGCAATCTGTGAAGCCAAGACTTTTAATGTCTCTTAGGGCCTTCAAGACATGTCACTCTTTTTGGAAGAGGACTCAAAACATATATGTCAACGATGTGCAACGCCTTTATGATTCGACAAACAAGCTGGCATCTCTGAAAATGACCAACCATGATATGATCTCCTTCATGAATGAAGCACAATCAGCCGGGGAAGACCTGCGGATGTTCTTGGAGGTCGACGCTTCAGATGAAATGAAGAAGAAGCTTGACAAATATTATATGGTGATGATTCTTCGCGCTATACATCCAAACTCAACCATATCAGAGATCAGCTTCTGACCTCTCATGAGGTCCCTTCCATGGACACCTTAATCCAACGCATGGTTCATGTCCCAACACATGGAACTCTGGAAACTCCTGCTCTAGTAGAACCATCTATTATGGTCGCCACTCGAGAAAGAGGAGGACGTGGAACTAGAGGAGGCGGACGTGGTGGTCGTAGGCGTCCTCAGTGCACATATTGCAAAAGGATGGGTCACACCCAAGAAAACTATTACTCCTTACACGGTTTTCCTTCCAAAACAGTCAATGTCTCTCAGGCTGAAACGACTGAACCCAAGTTCACTGAGGACAAGTATCAAGAGTACCTATGACTCAAGTCCAACAGCTTGTCACAACCATCTCAAGATCCAAATACATCAACAGCTTGCATCTCTCAATCCATGGAACGTCACAATTCATGGGTAATTGATTCCGGTGCTTCTGACCATATCTCTAGTAATACCTCCTTGTTCTCAACCATTTCATTTCAAGACAAACCTCATTTTATAACCCTTGCAAATGGCTTTAAAAATTTCTCAAAGGGAGTCGGTCAAGTCATCCTGTCTCCTTCCTTAAATCTAAAATCTGTCCTTTTTGTCCCTAATTGTCCCTTCAATTTAATTTCCTTACGTCAGTTAACCAAAATGTTAAATTGTTCAAAAACTTTCGATAACAAATCTTTTGTTATACAGCAGCGTAGTTCGGGGAGACAGATTGGAGAAGGATATGAAGCAGGAGGATTATATCATTTTGAATCTCGTCCACGAGTGTCATGTGTTGCAGCCCCTAGTCCTAAAATGTTACATGATCGGCTTGGCCACCCTCATTTGTCCAAGTTAAAAAAAATGTGTCCTGAACTTAGTTGTCTCCAGACCTTAGAATGTAAGCCATATCAACTAGGCAAACATGTTAGATCTGCCTTTCCTAAAAGTTCTCAATCAAAAAGTAATTCTAGTTTTTCTATCATCCATTCTGATGTCTGGGGACCTAGTCGTGTCTCATCTTTTGGTTTTAGGTATTTTGTTACTTTCATTGATGAATTTTCGAGATGTACTTGGGTTTATCTTATGAAAGATCGCTCTAAATTATTATCCATCTTCACATCCTTTTTAAATGAAATTAAGAATCAATTCGGGCAAGTGATCAAAATCTTGAGAAGTGACAATGCCAAGGAGTACTTCTCATCTGCTTTTTCTGTCGTTTTGAGTTCACATAATATCTTGCATCAGTCCACTTGTCCTCATACACCACAGCAAAATGGTATGTTTTCTTATTTATCGGATGCCATCATCCTCTCTCAATCATAAGGTCCCTTTCTCCATTCTGTTTTCAGATAATCCTCTTTTCCCCATTTCTCCTCGTGTTTTTGGTTGTGTATGTTTGTTTATGACATGTCTCCAGGGTTAGACAAACTTTCTGCTCGCTCTATCAAATGTGTCTTCTTGGGCTATTCCCGTCTTCAGAAAGGGTATCATTGTTACTCTCCTGAAACGAAGAAATATTACATGTCTGTCAATGTCACGTTCTTTGAACATACCCCTTACTTCTCTCCATCTGTTCAAGATGTTCATGTCATACAGCAAGGTCTCCCTATTCCAATGGTTGAGTACAATCTTTCCAATGTCTCTGTCAATCCTGGTCAAAGTCTTGATCAAAGTGCTCCTGAGCCATCATCTCCAACTATTCATACCCCCAGATAAATAGTCCCATTTTCCAAGAACATGGTGAATCCCCTACTTTAGATGTTTCCCCCTCGTCCCTTGATACCACGACTCCTGGTGAAGGTGATTCAGGTTGGCCCATTGCTCTCAGAAAAGGTACTCGTTCCACTCGAAACCCACATCCCATTTAGAATTTTCTTAACTATCACTGATTATCGTCTTCCTATTGTTCCCTTTTATCTTCAGTATCTTCTGTTGTTATTCCAAAAAATGTGAATGAAGCATTTGATCATCCTGGATGGCGACAAGCCATGTTTGCAGAGATGCAGGCTCTTGAACACAGTCATACTTGGAAGCTCGTGCCCCTCCCACCGGGTATGAAGGCTGGTGGTTGCCGATGGGTGCATGCAATTAAAGTTGGTCCTGATGGTCAAGTTGATCGACTCAAAGCTCGATTGGTTGCAAAAGGATACACTCAGGTTTATAGTCTTGATTATTGTGACACTTTCTCTCCTATGGTCAAGATGACTACTATTCGTCTCTTTTTTGCCATGGCAGCCATTTGTCATTGGCCACTTCATCAATTGGATATTAAAAATGTCTTCCTCCATGGTGATCTTGAGAAAGAGGTTTACATGGAACAACCTCTTGGGTTCGTTGCTTAGGGGGAGTTTGGTATGGTATACAAATTGCATCGTTCTTTATATGGCCTCAAGCAATCACCACGTGCTTGGTTTGGAAAATTCAGCTCCATTGTTCAAAAATTTGGACTAAGACGTAGTGAAGGAGACTATTCTGTCTTTTACTGTCATACATCTCTTGGAAAATGTGTTTACTTAATAGTATATGTTGATGATATAGTCATTACAGGAAATGACACTACTGGAATATCTCAACTAAAGGAGTATTTGTGTAGACATTTTCAAACCAAGGATCTTGGAAACCTTATTTCTTGGGCATTGAAGTAGCTCATTCAAAAGATGGAGTTGTAATCTCTCAAAGGAAGTATGCTCTTGATATATTACAAGAAACAAGCATGATTGACTGTAGACCAGTAGACAGTCCTATGGACCCAAATCAGAAGCTAACGGCAGAAGAAGGTGAATTATTCTCTGATCCAGAGAGATATAGGAGGCTTGTTGGAAAGCTAATTTATCTTACTATTACGAGACCTGATCTATCTTTTGCAGTTGGAGTGGTTAGTCAGTTTATGCAAACTCCATATCTTGGACATTGGAATGTCATCATCCGTATTTTAAGGTACCTCAAGAAGGCTCCTAGACAGGGTTTACTATATGAAGATAAAGGAAATGTTCAAGTCTCCGGGTATTGTGATGCTGATTGGGCAGGCTCCCCTATTGACAGACGCTCTACTACAGGATATTGTGTCTTCCTTGGAGGAAATGTTATCTCATGGAAAAGTAAGAAGCAAAATGTAGTGGCCCAATCATCCACTGAAGCTGAATATTGAGCAATGGCGTCTCTCACTTGTGAACTCATATGGGTAAAGCAATTTCTTCGGGAGCTTAATTTTTGTGAAATCCAGACCATGAAGATGTATTGTGACAACCAAGTTGCTCTCCACATTGCATCAAATCCGGTGTTTCATGAGAGGACTAAACACATAAAAATCGATTGCCATTTTGTTCGGAAAAAAATTAATGTCCAAGGAAATTTGTACTGAGTTCGTTGGGTCAAATTACCAACTTGCAGATGTGTTGACCAAGTCATTAAAGGGACCTCGGATTGAGTTCATTTGCTCCAAGCTTGGTTCATACAATTTGTATGCTCCAGCTTGAGGGGAGTGTTAGAATCATTACTTCCTAGTATTATCATTAGACCTAAGTATAGGGTGTTGAGTGTAGGAAACCTCCTACATCTGTATCTAGATTTGCACCTAGAGTCCTAGTTGCAATCTCTTAGTCTTCTATGTCTCTTTGTATCAGATTTCCATTATAAATAGAAGAAAGGGAGAAGGGTCCCATAAGCCCTGAAGATATATTTTTTCTCTATTAATCTTAAGTGTTACATTATTCAAATATCCAAATAAGCCACCAAACATGAGATCAGTGATAATCACAAGATGAAGATGTGGGTTACTTGTGTTCAGACACAGAAGAACATAACTATCAATAACCCTGAGTTTCTGCTAATTTAGTTATGCAACAATTTAAGGTATTTTACTAGTTAATAGCTCATAAAGTAGATTTAGAGAATACGATGTTTTATAGAAATACCATGTTATATAGAAAATATGGTTTAGTTTTGGAGCAATTGCAGCAAAAATGTCAAATAACACTAACACAATTGAGTCCACCCTCCCATATAACAAAAATGATACATGGACACCCATAATATAAGTTTTATAATGGTTATGATGTAACAGGAAGAGAGAGAGAGAGGGAAAAAATAGACGTTGATGAAGTGTTTCAAAATATGGGGTGTTCATGTATCATTGCTCCCCATATAAAATGTAATGTAGAGCAAGTTAGAAGCTCTAGTTAAAGGGGACATGTCATAGCAGTACTTTGTCATCTCCTCTGTAATCATTGTAATTAACGTGTAAGATTCTAATACTATGATAGTTTATTATTAGTAACCCTTAGTTGAGTTTCAGAAGTTAGACTAAGAAACCCTCAAAAACTAAACTAAGAAAGCAAGGGGAAAAAAATAAAACCTCGAAATACATAACACAGCACAGTAGCACGCCAATCTGTACCAAAGATATCAACCTAAAACGAAGAACACCACAAGAAATTTGGTGAACTCTCCAAAATAAACTTCATAAGAAACACTTGACAAGTGAATTCCTTGCATTTCTTTCAAACGATATACATCAAACAGCCACAAGTTGAGAATACATAAAAGCCTTTTAGCATCTTTATTGGTGCCATAACCTCTAAACTAATTAACTCAAAGGAATGTCTAGAGATCCGTGGGCCAAACCCAAACTTCATTATAACCAACAAATTATTACAAAGATGAGAAACTACTAAAAATGTAAAAAATCAAATGAGAAGCATTTCGGAATTCTCTCTTCACCAAGGAACAATTGTAACATTTGTATAAGTTATTTTTAAGTAAAATGTCAACTAATCCATCATCTTTTCTAACCCAAAAAGATATTTCTTTTTCTGCTGCTCTTCTTAGTCCCTAACAATTTTCTAAAAGCTCTTGGATCATTGATTCTGAAGCTATATACCGAATAACAAAATGTTCAAATTTGTTCTACGCACATAATCCTTGTCCATATCATAAAAAGATCAAAATTATAGATGGTACCTTCTCTACTATAGTTGGTGTTAGTTCTACTCCAATATCTAAATCTAACTCTTAACAATATCCATGTCCCCAATTTGTCATGTAAATTTTTTGTCCAACAGTAAAATGACACATGATTAAATTATTCAGATATATTTGACTCCTCTACTTGCACACTTCAAGAGTTGTGTTCAGAGTGGATAATTTTCAACGCTAAAGGGTTAGATAGACTTTATTATGTTCTGAAAAATTTATTTCCTTTCGGCCCCATATGGGGTGATTGCAAGTTCTTACTTTTTCGTTTTCAAATTGAAACAAAACTTTTTCGCAAAACTGAAGCTGAAATTAATTTTACTCCGTATCAAATTACGTTTGCATTCATTTTCAAAACTAAGAAAGGAATTATATATTTGATTTTTAGTTTTACAAAAACATACTCTCGCTATCTTTGATAATGAGCTTTACCATTCTTGTCACGTCCATCTCCAATATTGCAATCACCGTCTCCACCACCACTATTATCACTACTACTACCACTAGTGTCAACACCATCATTGCAACCACATTTATTGTCACCGCCATTAGCACTACCATTAACAATATTATCACTATTTATCAGTACTATCCGGAACTAAAAACTAGTTTTATAAAAACTAAAAACTGATTGGATTTTTTATAAATTTTCCAAGTTACAACAAAAACCATCCCAAACGGGGATAAGGCTATATAACTATAAAAAATCTAAATTTATTTTTTAGTCAAGCCTGTCAAGTAGAGGATAAAAATAGCAAACAAAAATGAAAACGGAGGATAAAAGAAATTATAAAAAATCTTCAAACATAAAACCAAAGTAAAATATAAAAAATTACAAGAAAAACCAATCGTAAACATGAAATACCCAAGAAAATTTTACCTTTGGAATATGGATAACCTCAAAAAGAATGGTCTAAAAGAACAAAACCATTGTCTTTATCTTATAATTTGGGTTTTCGCATTTGAAAAGGATGTTACTAATAAATACAATATTTCTGTATTACATCACACGAACTAAGAAACGTGACATAAAAATATTTCATTATAAGAAATATGAATTCTAAAATGATGTTGTATATGTGTGCTTCATATTAGCATATTTCTTACCTGACCAGGTTGTCGACTGTCAATCATGAACCCAAGTAAACATCGGACATCATCTGAGGCCATTGAAGGAGATGCTGCCACTATTAGAAGTTCAATTACCACTAAGAGCTCGTCAACCAAAGCATTGACCTCACCAGTCGGTCTTGTTGATCCAGTTAGAGAAAAATTTTTTACTGAATCTTTTTCTGGAACAGTCCAATAGCTTCTTCTACAACCATCAAGAAGCATCTGAATGGCATTGGCTTCTCGCATCACTACCGACTCAGTGAAAACCATGTCGGCAAGAGATGATAGAAGCTTCTTTTGTATGCCATAACTACATAAACTCCAAATTTTTAAATCCAGCAGCAGTGTGGTGAAGAGATGCACTTTGAGCGTATGGTTGATTTTTTGAGATAGACAAAGTGAGACAACTGCAACGACAAGTTCTTCGTCACCTACACCATCATGTGTTCCATCACAAAGTGAGGACAGGGTTTGGAGAAGGTAATTTAAAATCTTTGAAAGAATCTCAGGTCCTTTGCAACGAGCCAACTCCTCATGGTTCCTTGGATGTTGAATAGCCATTGATATAATTCGAAATATTGGACCAGCAAGAGATGAAGTGGCTACAGACACAGAAAGATTCCCTTGCCGTGGTTCTAGAGTATCCTCGTGTACATTGCTAATTGCTAAGGGGAGCAAAGATAATGGACCACCGTAAGCCAATGCCCACAAAGCATCCACAGGTCGAATTCGTGTAGCAACATGGACTTGCCCAAGAACCTCAGCTGGGCGTCTAAGCAATCCTGAATCATAAGAAAAGAACCCACCATAACAAGAACAGCAATGCAACTTATTTTACATGCCTTGATGCATAAGAAATTTTATCATGGTCTGATAGTAAATACATGCAATTATTTAAATAATAAACTTAAGGACCTGGATTTTAAATATTAAAATATTTTACACATAATTGTTTAAGAGGAATCTAGAGGCCAAGAGTTTTATTTATAGACATTATTTATGACATGATATTTGGGTGTCATTAAATCGATTTAACTGACCCCACCAACCAAGTGGAAAAAGACTTGGTTATTGTTGTTGTTGGACTTCCTTGATGTCAAGTCATCGATTATCCAACAAAGAATCAGTGATTTTCAAAAATTAAAAGAATCAGCGATATCATGGAAATTGGTTTAAGCTAAAACTAAGAATAATAAGAAGGAACGAAAGGAAGAAACCAGAAGAATTAGTGCCTAAAATTGTTACAGCTTCTCTTAATCTGTAGTGCATTCGAAAGACTAAACTACATAACGCATTAAGAAACTGAATTAAATTAATAAAGCGCACGAAAAGACAGTTTATAATGCCGGGCCAGCTAAGCATATGTTGCACATAAAAGAATTCCATTATGTTACTTACTCGTCGATTCAAAAAATCTTTGCATGGTAGAATATTTTTGTATTTTCATGGACATGGTTCTCTAAATAAATATGAAACTATATTGTCTTCCAATAAAAAACTGTTTTCATGGGCATGTGTTCACTTTTTTACACTAAACAAATATACAACACAATGCATTGATAACTGAATTCAATGCAAATTTATGGATTTTCAAAATCCAGATAGTCGCGGAGTTATGTATTGAAGAATAAACAAGAAGGTGCAGTTTACAAGAAGAGAACAAAAGAAGAAGAAATACAGTGGAAAATATCCTCTTAATAATCAAACAAATTGCTAGCACTGAGTGAGAAACGAAAACCCTTATGTTACTCATAAAACATTCCAATTTCCTACCCAAAAGGTTGTAAGAATTTTCTAGTTACATCATATAAATCTACAAACAAAACATAGATTATTTATCAGCCATATTTTTTCCATGAAAAATAACACATGCTTAGGCCGTAGCAGAAAATTGTATATATTACCGTAAAATCAACACCCAGAAATTATCTGACCTGCAGCACCAGAAGGTGAAGCATCTGGACAGAAACGCCCACTAAGCAAACTAGGATGATAGAGTAAGTGAATGAAATCTCCAATTTCTGCATCCAAAAGAACACTTTCCTCTGCCTTGCTCTGAACCTGGGCATTTGTTGCAAGCCATGGTAGCCCTGCTGCATTACCAAAAGAAGGTACTATATCCCCTCCTCTAGAAGCCAAGCGTGCCATCCTTTCAGGGCCAATTGGTTCCTTAAAGATGTAAACAGGTCCCATCTCAGCAAACAACGGGCATTGACGCCGACGCCGTTGCAAACCAGCCATAGTAGGAGGAGGGTTAGTTCCTATGCAGCAAAATGCAAGAGGTTTGGAAATCCTGGGGAACTCAAAAGGACGAATTTCGTATAAAGACCCATCTACATATAATCTAATTTCATTTTCTGCATGCCCAATAATACCATTCTTACTTGTATGTTCAAGACCAATGAAGTACCAGCATTGTGGTCTAAATGCATAGGTAAAATGTAAAGCAGATTTCTTTGCCTTCCCACAACCAATTTCAACAACCAAAAATTGAGCATGAAAATAAGCCTCTATACCCTGATTATCAGCAGATAAAAAACTGAATAAACGTGGCATGTGTGCCGTACCTTCACCAGCAAGAGCACTAGCTGCTGCAGCAGCCGACATAGCTGATGACTTACCTGACTTAGCAGATGCAGCCGCAGCAATTGCAGCAGCTACTGTAGCTGTATTTAGAGCGTCAGCAAATGATTCAATGTAGATCCAAGTTGCAAATGCATACCCATGGATAAAAGGCCAGCGACCCTCACCTGGACCCAACAAACCAGAACTTTCCCCATCAAACTCAAAAGTGCAAGCTGGTCCAGTAGATTCCTTTTCACTTATTGCTTTTTCCAATGCAAGCATCAAGCGCGAAGCCCAAATTGTGGTAAGTGTCCTTGGAATGACTTGAAACCATCTACGAAGATCACTAACAGTAAGAGAATGCCCAGCCAAGTATTGTATGCAGCGGCACAAAGGAGTTCCATCCCATCTTATTTGCCCATTTAAGCCAACATCTACAGTGAAAATTTTTTCTGCTGTTCTCAAGAGTACTCCTAGCAGACCAGCCATTGAGCACATTGCTCTGTTTCTAGTGCACGCCCTTAATATGGCAAGAAGTCCCCTTACCATTCGTGTCCTAGGTGACATGAAAATATCAGAATCACCAACGTAAGGAAGCCAAGGAATCAGTTCACCCGACACAATGGCTGCCCGAGAATTCAGCATTACACTAGGAGGATTATCACCATCCTCTTCAAAACTTTCAACCCCACCCATTGTTGCAAGAAGTGAATCTACTATTAAGAAGGACACGCTGTCCATTTCTTCACCATTCCCAAAAATTTCTACACCACTTGCAATATTCTTCAATTTCTCCATACCTTCAGGTTTCCCCATGATAGCAGAATCAATTAAATGCAATAACTCTGCAGACGTATTTTGCCCAGCATTTTGATCCCAAGACTTTTGTGGAGAACTAACAGGAGAATATACATGTGAACCTGAATAAGAAAGATGATCATGTTGCATGTCAGCAACTGGGAAAAGATTACCCTCTGTTGAGTACTCCCCAGACGAATATTTTAAACCTTCTGCATTACCAACAATCTCATGTCCTTGTGAGTGCACATTTTCATTTGCCTGCCCATCCCCAATGTCACTGCCAGATTTCATATTTTTCTTCTGAGGACTCTCAACATTTCGTTCCACACCATTATTCTTCATTTCATGATTATCTAATCCATTATCAAATATTTTTTTCTCTTTTGATTCTTCCTCTTCTTCCATTATACTATTACCAAAGAAGCTAATAAATACTCATTCAAATAACGAAACCAGCAATCCACCTGCAAATAACACAATTAACAATTTCTCCGTCAAAAAATTTAAATTGAAAAAACGAAATCATTAACCGATGGCGAGCACTTTCCTAAGGAATCAACAACGGTAAACACGAAAACATTAAATTACAAAAATAAAAACAAACGGCACCACAAATTTCGTCGAAACACTCAAACAAAAAACCTCTTAAAAGTGCTGACTTAACTTATTAACTCATAAAAGCATTCACTTAATAACCTACACTGTTTGAAATTTGCACAACTGGTTATGATCATTTACTCACAGAATCTGAAATCAGCTCGAATCCCTCACACGTTGCTAGCAGAGATGGTTTCATCGCATCAAACGCGGACACACTTACATGCATAGACAACGAGAAGCAAATAGAACACTAATCGAGGTGGCGAAATCGGCATTGTTTCGGTAACGTGAGATTCAAGAAAAAAGAAATAGTTAGAAATGGATACCTCGGTGCGGATGAACGCAGCGTGGAGTGACGTTAAGTTTTGATCTAAGCTCGGGAAAGGAAATGAGAGGAGAGAGAGGAGAGGAGAATTGGGCGCGAGAGTGAGGGTGGAATTGGGATTTGGCAAAATGACGAATGAATATAACTAACTGAGGGTTATAAGTATTTCTGTCTGTGTGGTTTTGCCCAGTCAAACATGCAATTTTGAGAAACCAACGGTTTCCTCGGTAGTGCCTTTTTGTCTTCTATTTTCCCTTTTTTTACCTTCCACTAATTTTATTTCGAGTGAAACTTTCTTCTTCTGCATCTCTTCTAAAACACACCATATGTTTATTATTATTGATCATATAAAATTTAAAAATTATAAAATCAAAAAAATGTGCATTTAGAACCGGTAAGTAATCGGTATGAGAGTAATACTCGAGTCAGATTTTCTTAAGTTTTGCATTCCAGGTAAAATGATTGAAGATAAAAACCACGTGATTAGTCATGCTTTCACGTTAATAATAGGATTAAATATGTAGTAGATTATGTAACAGATGAATGAATATATGTTTTTTAATTAAAAATATAAATACTTAATTTTAAATATATTAATTGCTAATATTTTATTTTATTATGAAGTCTATTGGTAATAACCTCTAATTTAATTGGCTTTATGTAACTGAATATATCCATTGCCCAGTTGACAATTTAAGATAAGCTAATGGTTGGAAAGTTTTGAATTATAAAAGTGATTATACCTAATAAACACTTAAACTATGAATGTTTTTAAAAGAATTTAATTATTTGATATTATTCATCAATGTTCTTGTGAAAATATTATAATAACAATGGAGCTTTGATAAAATAGGTTAATGGGTTCATATAGATCAATCTAAACTTGTTGTCTTAAGATCTAATGCTCTGGTTGGATCCTTGAAAAGAGAAGAAGGTTTACTTGCGAGTATATTTTAATGATTAAGTTAATATAAAAATAAGATAATCAATATATTATAAAAATTGTATATGTATGAAGGTATAAATGAAAGAATAAATTAGACCATTTTAAAGGATTTTTACTATAATATTTTAGATAATTATTTATATTTATTTTAATATTAATTATTGTCTTAATGACGTGTCATATATAATCAAGTAATGAGATATATTGATTATGTGTTATTACCAATAAAAAGTGATTAAAAGAAGGAATATTGTCATTTTATATAATTAATGCGAAAATTTAACTAAACAATACCAAGTTCAAAGTCTAATATTAGAATAGGTGAATGTGGTGATTGAAGTGTTATAGATTAATCCAAGATAATATCAAGTTTATAAACATTATACATGTTTGTTCTAGTCTCCTGATAAACCTAATGTTGGCCCTATTCTATTCCTTTTATATGTTAGGATTACTCTGCATTAATAAAGGTTTTGTAAGCAATATGTCACCCATTAATGTGTTGTCATATAATTTTTCTTAAAAAAGTTGTACCCAAGTTTAGATAAATGCATTGAATTCGAATTTTTTTTTATTGTATCATTTGCATTCACTTTCTTATCTTCCACAAGTTCCTTCTTCAAGTTTTCTCTTGAATTTTCTTCTTCAAGTTTCCTTAGGTAATCTTTCAATCTTCTTTTGCTATCATATCTTCTTCTAAATTTGGTTTTTCTAATGGTTATATCATGTTGAACCATTGGTCTGTGAGCATCAAGTTCACCCTATTTTCATGAGTCGGTCTGAAAAGATAATTCATTAAACTTTCCTCTGTAATAAGTGAGTTTCTTCCTCTTCCATAGTGGTGGTTGTTGGTTAGTTCTACACATTGTGGGTAGAAAGTCCAAAAGATACTGACTAGGACTAGGTTTCCTTTGATCTCACATCCCAAATAGGACAAGTGTATCATTATTCCGTCAATCTCACTATTACATCCTTTATGGAGGAAATTTACGAAGTTTATGCCATATATGCTAATGAGTTTAATTTATTGTTGTTGAGACTTGTTCTCATGTATAGTATTTATATATGAAACTCAATCTAATTGAAGATTTTACATGTTTATTTAAAGAATTAGATATTTTTATTTCCATTAGTAATTTTGGATGTGATATATTATCAATTTTATGTATTGTTCCTAGTCAATTTCACCCTAATATTTGGGTTTTTATTTTAAATATTTTAAATTTTGTGCGATATTTTGCATTTATCTTCTATTGTTGATCATTTTATGTACTTTTACCAATTTACACATGGACAAAATGTTGGTTGGATGTCTCTTTATGGTTCTCAACATGTCAACTTACACTACAAGAAAATCGCATATTTCTGACGGATTTGTAGTCATCGAAAATAAATTATTATCGACGGAAATTACCAACGAATATAAAACATTTGTAGAATTTAGTCTTATCGACGGATATATGTGTCAGTAAAATAATAATTAGTTACCGACGGATATATCCGTCGGTAAATTCGTCGATAAATTAAAAATTAATTACCAATGGATATATTCGTCGGTAAATTTTAATTTACCGACGAATATTTCCATCGATAAATCCATTGGCAAATGAATAATTAGTTACCGATGGATATCCGTCGGTAAAATTATATAATAATTACTTAATATATTCTAATAAATTAATTATTCACCTAATTAAAAAATTAAATATTTTTTATTTAATAATTTAATTTAATCATAATTAGATTAATTTATAATAATTTATTAAATTAAATAATTTTAAAATTAAATATTTAATTATATATAAATATATCAAAATATATAAATATATACATATATTTGTATTTATATATTTACATGGATATACATTTATTTGTATATAAATATAATTTATTTATAAATTATTATCAAAAAAATTTAGTAGCTTAGTGGTTGGAATATCAACCTCCAACTCTAAGGTACTTGGTTCGAATCTCATCATCGACAATTTTCTTAGTCAAGAAGGGGATCTCTAAAAAAATAGGTTATAAGTAAGTAAAAAATGCAATAAATAATAAAAATATTACCGACGGATTCTTATCCGTCGGTAATTTCGTGAAACATTTACTGACGGATTGTTTATCGTCAGAATTCCATCGATAATATCTATTTACCGACGGATTTTGACCATCGATATTTTTAGTATTTCTTGTAGTGTTATTCTAAACTCCAACCATACACCTTATTTTCCTTGGTATTAGCAAACTCCTCGTAAGTTTAAATTTTGAGTCCAGTATTTGATGACTACCTAGGACAAGTTTGATATTAAAATTTGGACAAGTCTTCCATACCCCATAAATTGTAGGGATCTTTTGTTCGTTCCTTACAATGGTCGAGCCAAAAATTTTAAATGAGAGTCAACTTGAAAGTGGATACTCATCAATAGAAAAATGATATGATATAAATTTTATATACGCTTAAAGGATTTTTTTCTTCTTAATTAATAATATAATTCCTAATTGATAATATAATTCTAAATATGTGGAAGTATTTTTAAGATTACGTATCAAATTATCAATATTAATGTTTTCATATCCAATTTTTATAAATTTAAAAGAAGATTGTTGAATAGGTTAATCAATTGTAGGTTCCTTAACATTTTAATATTACTCGTTGAATTTAAATTTTGAAAATTAGAGTTTATTTCATTATTTATCCTTTCTTTTCTCTTAAAAAATGAATTTATAGTTTTCTTCTTAGATTTTCCTAAAGCTCAACATGATTTTTTTTATACATTTTAACATCAAAATAAGGTATTATAAAATATTAAAACAACTAACTAATTTATAAGAAATAAAAAAATTAATATTTCATATTTTTATACTACGTTACACATGTTAATTTGCTATAATAATGAATAAAAAAATTAAAGAAATAATTTTACTTACTATTTATTTACTGTAAGAAAACTAATGTTAGATATTTTTTTATTTTTTAACTTCGTACTTTTCTCTAACGTGAAAATGCATCTAATGTGAATAGAAGAGAAAAAACTAAAGAACAAAAAATTATAATTCTTATGCATTAAAAGGTTAAACCATAAAAAAATAAAAAATTAAAGAATAAAACTTACAAATTTTATGTTGTAAAATAAAATCATGAGAACGGATAATATGAAAGTGCATTAGTAAAGAAAAGAGGTAAAAATAGTTAAGAGAAAGTTATGATTCTAATATCCTTGATATTATGTCATTATTTGGTCCCTATAATGTACAGCAATGATCAATTTCTTTCTTATATTTGTTTATTATAACTACTGCTAACTTTATTATAGGATGACAATTGTACTACAATGTGTGTATATAAACACAATTTGTAATATGAATAATCAAGTCATTTTTTTACATATTTTTCTTTTTTGGTATCAGAGCTTGAAGGTTCTCGATTTAATCATGTTTTCCTCAACCAACACAAATCCAAAAAATGACTGACCCACAATTGTCTCTGTCAGGCTGGATAGAGATAACTATCTCTTATGGAAGTAACTAGTTCTTCCA